ATGACGTGATTGTCATTGAATAAATGAGTAAATTCTTGATACTCTAGGATTCACCGTTTGGTTTGTGTTGACAACTACTGTACTACCGTACAGTATACAGGTAATAAATTTCCTTTATTTTCATTTAACAATAAATGCGTACCATATTCTTCTTCATGGAAAAATAAGACATTCCCTGAAAATAAGACCTAGCGCATCTTTGGGAGAAAAAATTAATATAAGACACTGTCTTATTTTCAGGGAAACAGGGTAGATTTTAACTTTTCTACCTGCCTTCAGTTTTGTAGACCAGCATCTAAGCCCAGTTGCTTCTCCAATTACCTGGAAATAATAATAACAGACCTGCATTATTCTTTGTTATCCCCCACATCCTGTAATTCATTTATTCACATATTCACTTATTTAATAACTAGAGGCCCTATGCACAAAATTTGTGCAGAGAGTAAGGGTGTGTGTCCCTCAGCCCAGCCTGCACCCTCTCCAATCAGGGACATCTCTCTCACAATCCAAGACTGCTGGCTCCCAACCACTCACCTGCCTGCCTGCCTGATTACTCCTAACCTTTTCTGCCTGCCAGCCTGATCACCCCTAACCACTTTCCTGCCAGCCTGATTGACACCTAACTGCTCCCCTGCCAGCCTGATTGCCCCTAACTGCCCTCCCCTGCTAGCCTAGTCCCTCACAATTGTCTTCTCCTGCAGGCCTGCCCCCCTAATTGCCCTCCCCTGCCAGCCTGGTAACCCCTAACTGCCCTCCCTTGCAGGCCTGGGTCCCTCCCAACTGTCCTCCCTTGCAGGCCTGGGTCCCTCCCAACTGTCCTCCCTTGCAGGCCTGGTCACCCCCAACTGCCCTCCTCTGTGGCCTGGTCACCCCTAACTGCCCACTCCTGTGGGCATGATCACCCACAATTGCCCTCCCCTGCAGGCCATCTTGTGGTGGCCATCTTGTGTCCACATGGGGGTGGCCATCTTGTGTGTTGGAGTGATGATCAATTTGCATATTACTTTTTTCTTAGATAGGATGATGTATAGATGAACAACACAATGCACTGTGCAAGTAGTAAGCATATACAGATGGATATAATACATTTTTCTTCTTGTGGAGTTTAAAGCTTACTAGGGGAGCCAGTAACATAATAACAATATTTCAAAAAAAAGTACAGTAAATGCTATTGTAGAAATAAGTACAAGCTTAAGTTGTGACCCAGAGCAGAGAATAATCAGTTCTGCTTTTGGGCAGTGGGGAACAATAGCTCCACAGAGCAGAAGATACTAGAACTGTTTATCAAAGGATGAATAGATCTCATAAAGTAGATAAAGATCTGCAATGCCCTTTTGATCTTTATATAAAGGCACCAGTGTTTAAGCAAGTATTATATCTTTAGTCAATTGCAAAAATTTGAGATCAGGAGGGTAAGAAATGAGGTTAGAGGGAGGCAAGGGGAAGATTTTGGACAGCCCTGTGTCCTATGTATGCAAAGGAGTGGGTTTTGTGTGGTTGAAAGGGAAGCTCCAAAGTAATTAAATCACAGAGGTAACAGGATTGGGTGTTATTTAGAAAGGTATGGGCTTTTGAGGGAGATGGTGGGGAGAAAGAAAAAGCAAGACAGTGTTCAGGCTGCTGGCTGTCTGGTTAGAAAGCTAATATAAAAGTCTAGGTCAGTACTGATGAAAGCCTGCACTAAGGCAAAAGCAAGGATGGGTCAAGTCTGAGAGATACTTAGGGGACAGAACAAACATGAATTTTAACTATGATTTTGGACTGATGCAGGGATTAAATGTAATAAGATGTGCTTAAGAATAAAAGAAAGCCTGCCTAGTGTGGCTCAGTGGTTGAGCATCAACCAATGAACCAGGAGGTCATGGTTCGATTCCCTGTCAGGGCACATGCCTGGTTGTGGGCTCAATTTCCAGTGGGAGGTATGCAGGAGGCAGCTGGTCAATGACTGTCTTTCATCATGGATGCTTCTATTTCTCTTTCCTCCTCCTATCCTCTCTGAAATCAATACAAATATATTTAAGGAAATAAGAGATGATGTACCCTAGAAAGATGAAGAATTATCAAATAACTAGTGAAGGAATTTATAACATAAAACACCTTCCATATTACCTAAAGGAAACTGTATCTGAAATGTCTGCCAGTTAAAGACATACATTTTCTCCAATGTATCAAAACCCCTCAAACAAAGCCATATGTGACTTTAATAGAAAGATTTGAAGAAAATTCAAACTAACTTGATTGTTTATGTTAACTCTTTCCTACATGTCCAGTGGCCATGAAACACTAATGCTAATGGAAATGGTGGTGGTGAGATACAAAGAAGTGGTGAGAAAGACGGAGGGGAAGGAGCTGATCTTAGTGGAGGACTATTGTAGTCACGTGCCCTGTGCTCTACAAGAAGGTACTTCCTTCAATAGAGTGTGGGCTTGTGCTACCCAGAACCTTCAGAGAAGAGGGTGGTCTCCTCCCAGGGTCATTAAGGAAAGCTCCACTTAAGTCTTTCTCCATCATTTTCCTTCTAGGTAAAAGAGAGCTAACCACGTGGCTTCGAAAGAGGCGTTGCTTTGCTAAAGTGAGATCTGAAGGAGTCTAGGTGAGTTCTTTGCATATGGCAACAACAAAATGAGCAAGAACCTGACAGTTCCTCATGGCTCCATTCACATACTGCCCCAGGGGAACTGGCCTGTCATTGCTCTAACTCAAGAAAAACCAGGGTTGACTACACCTGTATGGGTTTATCAAGTGGTCAAACATTGAATAGCAGGAAAAATATACACAAAGGCAGAGAGAAAAAACAGAATGTTGTGTTGGCTTATGTACAAGTGTTTGAGACCTGGAATGGTGGGAAATGGGATTGGAGAAAGAGGCAAAGGCTGCATCTTGAAGGGCCTTAAATTCTATGCAAAGGAGTTGGTATATAGGAGAGAGGAACACCTAGAAATAACTCAGTCAGGGAAGAACTAGGATCATATAATCTAAAAAGAACTGAAGAAAGACCTGTGTGGAGGATGGGTTGTGGTCCACAAAAGCCTGATATGAGTGAGTCTGTTGATTTTTTCTTTTTAAGAGAAAGAGAAAGAGGAAGAGAGAGGGAGAGGAGAGAGGGGAGGGGAGGGAGAGAGAGAGAGAGAGAGAGAGAGAGAGAGAGAGAGAGAGAGAGAGAGAGAGAGCGCAATGTAATAGAGAAACATTGATGGAAAGAAATTAAATCAGCAAAATTTTGGTGCACCGTGGTGAGGGGTGGAGGAGATGCTCTACCAACTGAGTCACACATGCCAGGGAAGGATGAGGTTTGACGTCCTTGTTTGCTCAGCAAGGACAAATGGGGTTTCATAAGGGTGTTTGCCTTACACAGCTTTCCAGGTTCAGGAGAACTCGGGGATGCCACTGTAAGCACGGTGTTAGGTCTTTATTGCCCTGTTGTCTTTCCTCACAGATAAGCCTTCTTCAGAGGGGCCTCTCAGCTTCAGCCTGAGCATCTCTGGCTCCCGGGGGGAACAGAAAGCAGGAGGTTTCAGTGTAGCTCCATTAATCACCAAAGAGAGGCAGCTGGCTGTGCCACCCACACAGAGCATAAGCTAGGAGAATTTAAATGTGTGGCTGAAACCCAATAAACACCTCACTCTGATTTTGCCCTCCCTACCCTTGGATGAGAATGAGTCAAGCAAGGGAGTACCCGGGAAGAAGGTCAGGGCAGTCTGGCTTTTTACAAAGAAGAACCATGATCATAAACAGGAAGAAAGATTTCCAGGGGTTCTGGAATTTTCTGATTTTTAGTCTCCCCTGCCCGCCATATGTTATCCCCACCTTTTTTTTCCTCCTAGTTAGATTACTCCATTCATTCTCTCTAACCTAGCTCTCTGAAATAATACATTTTCTCTCTTCTTTAGAAATCCTCTCAATGTACAGAGAACTAAATAGACCCTTAAAATAGTTTATTTTAAAAGGTTAAATGGGAATGAAGAATCCAGATTTAGATGTAGTAGATTGTTGTAGTAATGGCAGTAGAAAGATAATTTCAGTGATATAATGTTGCTTCTATCTTTGACTCTAGCCCAAAAAGTACCGTATTTTTCGGACCATAAGATTCACCGGACCATAAGACTCACCGGACCATAAGACGCACCAGTTTTTAGAGAAGGGAAATGAAGAAAAAAAGATTCTGAAACAAATAGTGTCCTAAAATATTTTATGTGCATTAAAACCCAACATCACAGTCATAAACACATGTAATCAACCCTGTAAAGTAAACAGCAGCATTTAGAACCGGGCAAGCACACAGAGACCACACAGAGCCGGGCAAGTAAAAAAACTTTTTTTTAAAAAAGTATATGTGTAGGCTATATTTGGACCATAAGACGCAGGGACTTTTCCCCCCCTCTTCTGGGGGAAAAAAAGTGCATCTTATGGTCCGAAAAATAAGATATTTTAAAGATCCGGTGGCTCTAACTTGATCCCCTGCTAAACTCTAAGTGCAGCTAGCTTACCTGTGAACCTGTAGTTTAGTGAACTCCTCGCCTTTGTAGGCAGCTCTTCTGACAGAACCAAAACCTGCCTCCCCAAAAGGTCACCCAGTACTCGTTGTCCCACTCTCCTGCATGGAACAATTGTTACTCTTTTCTCACAGCAGAGAAGGGGGATAAACAAGGTTAAAATCATAAGCACAGCATCCCTTGCTCCTGGCAAATGCTAGGACCAGTGCCCAATGCTTTGCAATAACCACTTTTTAAAAAGAAATTATTTTTAAATTAAAGTTTATATTCAATATTTTGTATTAGTGTCAGAGATATAGCATAGTGGCTTGACAACCATGTACAAAGTGGTCCCTCTGATATTTCAAGTACCCACCTGGCAATGTACATAATTATTGACTATGTTTATATATGATTGACTGTATTTCCTATGATGTACTTTATAACCCCGTGACTATTTTGTAGCTGCCAATTTGTACTTCTTCATCTCTTCTCCTTTTTTCCCAGCCTCCATCCTCCACCCACTCTGGCTCTCTGTATCTATGAGTCTGTTTTTATTTTGTTTGTTCATGGCAATAACCACTCTTCGACTGAATTTACTGTTTTCACAAATAGTTGTTTCATCCCCTTTGCCCCACTTTCCCTCATCTTTAGCACACTCTTCTAATTTGTAAATATGAAGAATCTGGTCTTTACCAAAGGACAAATAAATTCTTTGTTCTTGCTAAGCCTTTCCCTATATGGAGCACTATACACAATCTTATTGTGGGTTTAGGTAAAGGCCTGTTTCTATGAATTAAACTTTGATGGATTTGTGTGTGTGTGTGTGTGTGTGTTTGTGTGTGTGTGTGTGTGTGTGTGTGTGTGTGTGTGTGAGAGAGAGAGAGAGAGAGAGAGAGAGAGAGAGAGAGAGAGAGAGAGAGAGAGAGACTCTGTAGCTTTGCTGAGAGGGATTTCATAGAGAGGGAATATCTAAACCTCCTGAATATTTTGGCAATATGAGATCTTCCACAACCTCTGCTCAGACTTTTAGCACTTAGTCCCCTTGATACTAAGATGACTGTCCAAATTATCTTAAAATAGCAAGTGGGTCTCAAGTCAAGATATAGTTTTGAAGTATTACTACCCTTTGTGACCTCTGTTCCTCCCTCTCTAGAATAGGTGGTAGGTGGTGAGTGGATGCATGTGTAGTGAAATATGGGCGGAAGGGGTGGGCTGGCTGGATGAATTTCTTACTGTGGGCTGGCCTCACAGCCGTTTTAGTTGTTTTGCTTCTGCCCTCCCAGCCATCTTTTTACCAAGTCTTTCCCCACTTCTTCACCCTAAACCCCATAAACCACAACCACAGTCAACTAATTAAACACACAAAACAAACAAAACTGCCTCTGTGTGAATGTGCCTTTCTGGTTACGCCATCCATATGAGACTCCTCCCTCAAAAGCAGTAACCTGCGGGATTTCTGCCATGGGCAAGGCACATGGTAGACTCTGCACCCTCAAGGCAGAGGGAGAGGAAAGGCCAGAGCTTCTGGAAGGGTTTGGGCCGGTTGGTTCTTGGAAACTAGGGGGAGTGCAGGGGGGGAAAGGCATTACCAAGAATCCTGGCCGTCTCAGAAAGGAAAGGAAGAGAAATCCCCCAGGTTTGCAACCATCAGGACCACCTGTCCATTTGAAAAAATCTGTAACTTGGTTGGATCCTTGGACTCCCAGCTGAGAAATCTGGAATTACAGATTTGGCATGACTGTAGATGAGCTGACTTTAAACAACTTTCTTCTGTAAACTTACAAGGAGACCTTTAAAATTTACTCTGTCTCAGAATCGAAAGCTCCACCTAAAGTCCAATTAAAGGATTAAGTTCTAAAATGACAGTTATGCATTTTCAAATTTCCTTTCATTGTAGTCCTAGCACGGGGTGACAAGTTTACAGGACAGCACTAACACTCAACTTTTAGAAAGCTTTTAGAAAATATTGTTGCCTGGGGCTCCCCCAAGACCAATTAAGTAAAAAATACTACCTGTTGAGATATTGATGCCCCTGTACAACTTCCTGATGAATTTAGTGAGCAGCCATAGTTGGGAATGACTGCTTTGTTTGAAGCAATCTATCAACAAGAATTTCTAGAGGTTCACTTATATATTGATATTGTGCTAACATTCTGGGACTAGAGAGAGTCCCAGAGAGAGGCACTGACAATAGCCAATGGGGTTAGAGGAGGGCTCAGTCTGAGGAGGGAGGACATTGAAGAGGGTGTTCAGGGGCGTGAAGAAAGGCGATGCTTCCAGAATGGTCAATGGTCTGTGTGCAGACTAGTCCCGTGATATGATAATCTAAAACATCTCTTTGAAGGGACAGCAAGGAGGTTATTGGTGACTTTGGTGATTGCAGTAAAATTTCCATTGGCTGAGGAGATAAGGAAATGAAAACAAATGGGCACTGATTTTTAAAAATTCTATCTGTGAAGCAATAGTCTTTGACAGGGAATAAAGGGTCTAGAAGTCCCCCTCCCCCAGGTTTATTAAGATATAATATCTATAATCTATATCTATATATATCTATATATATCTAATCTTAATTATATATATATATAAAATTCTCCGGCGTATAAGACGACTTTTGAAACGAAAAAAAGTCAACTGAAAATAGGGGGCAAAAGACCAAAATTGCACAAAAAATTACCTGCAGATCTTGATGGCAAAGTAAGTCTTTTCTTTGAAGTGGGGGGTAGTCTTATACAGCGAATATAGGCCCAAACCTATGTTTTAACTGTAAAATTAGGGGGTCTTCTTATACACCAAAAAATACGGTATATTATATAATATATATATATATATATATATATATATATATATATATATATAAAATTGTATTACTTTAAGGTTTACAACATTAATGATTTGATGTATGTATGCATTGCAAAATGATTACCACAGAAAGTTTATCATCCATCATCTCATATAATTACAAGTACTTTTTCTTCTCAAGGGAATACTTAAGATCCGCTCTCTTAGCAACTTTCAGATAAACAACACAATATTGTTAACTGTAGTCACCATGCTGTCCATTACATCCCAGAGCTTATTTATCTTATAACAGGAAGTTTGTGCCTTTTTAATTACCTTTATTCATTTCCCCAGCCCCTACCCTTCACCTTTGGAAACCATAATGTATTCTCTGTTTCCAAGAGTTTGTTTATTTTAGATTCCACACATGTGTAAGATCGTAAAGCATTTGTTTTTCTCTCTGACTTATTTCATTTAGCATAATACCCTCAAGGTCCATCCACATTGTAGCAAATGGCAAGATTGCCTTTCTTTTCTAGGAGATATATATATATATATATATATATATATATATATATATATATATATATTACACTTTTTATACATTTGAGTTATAAATAGTTAAAGAATGGGTGAGATGTGAGCACATGCTAAAAGGAGGGAAATGAATGAAGATATAGGGTTAAGAATGAATAATGGGTGAAACATGGTTCCTGAGAATGCAGAAGAGATGAATCCAGAGTGTGGGTCAAAGAGAGAAGAGACTCTGCTGCCCTGTAATGGAGAGGAAGATGGGACTGTGGGCGTGGATGTAGATAGATGTTTAGGCATGGGCCTTTGTAGGAATGTGAGATGTTTGCCTGATGGACTCTACTTCACTGTGCCATGGAGGTGAGGTTCGTTGCAGGGTTACTTAGTAAGCCACTCCCCTCTCTACCCTCTGCAACTATGGAGGTAAAGTGATAGCCAGAGTTGAGCATGACCTCATTTCTCATTCCCTCCTGACACTTGGAATAGTGGGGAGGATTGGGGGCAGTTTATCAACATTGCTAGTTAATCAGAGGGTTCTTTTCCTCCCACAAGGTTAGCTGGTTGATACAGTGTCAGAGATGTTTCTAGCCTTTTCGTACACAGAGGCCCTAATTATACAGAGAGTAAGAACAAAGCCATTATGAGGGGTCAGGTTTCTGGGCCAGGGATCTTTCATTTTCATCTTACTGTTTTTGTCTTTACATCTCAAAGCTCAAACTTGGTAAATATGTGGCGAAGGCGTTGAAAGATTGGCTCAAAATACTAGCACAGTACCCAACAGCTTTCAAAGTGCAACTCGGTATTAGCTTTCTTCTTAATGAAACCACAGGTCTGGTTCAGTAGGTTTGATATCCTGCTTGAATCTGGCAGCCTTTGGACTCAGTTCTGCAATAGATTGTTGGCTCAAGACACACCTAATGGATTAAGAACATTAAAATAATTTTTACACTCTGGTAAAATATACCTAACAAAATTTGCTATCTTAACCATTTCTAATTTAAGTAGTGTTAAGTATATTCACATTGTTGCACAACCAAGCTTCAGAACGTTTCATCTTGTAGAAGTGAAACTATACTCATCAAACAATTCCCCATTCTCCCATCCCCCAGTCCCTGGCAACCATAATACTTTATCATATGAGTGGACTCACACAATATTTAACTTTTTGTGATGGACCAGAGGGCTTATTTCACTTATCATAATGTCCTCAAGATTTATCCATTTAATAGCATGTGTTAGAATTTCTTTCCTTTTCCAGGGTGAATAATATTTTGTTTTACCCCACTTTTTGTTTCTCTAGTCATCCATTAATGGACACTTAGGTTGCTTTGATCTTTTGACTATTGTGAATAGTGCTGCTATGAAAATATGTATGCAAATATCTTGGTCTTTACTTTCAATTTTTTTAGGTGTATACCCAGAAGTATAATTGATGGATCATATGGTAACTTTATTTTGAAGTTTTTGAAGTCCTACCATACTGTTTTGCATAAAGACTGCACTATTTTACATTCCTACCAACAGTATACAAGATTTCAGTTTCTCCACATTTGTATAAAAATGTTACTTTTGACTTTGTTTTTGCTTTATGGTAGCCTACCTAATAGGTGTGAAGGGGTATCTCATTATGGTTTTGATTTGAATTTCCCTAATGATTAGTGATGTTGAATATTTTTCCATGTACTTATTGGCCATTTGTATATCTTCTTTGGAGAAATGCCTATATAAGCCTGATGGCCATTATTTAATTGGGTTGTTTTTTATGTTGTTGAAATTAAGAACATTTTAACATTTTGTGGCATGTTTCTAGAGTGATGTGGTAGGGCTATTTATGACAAAGGCTTTTAACTTTTCTCCAGTGTCTCTATCCCAGTTCCTGCTTTTAAACACTGTGGGCTCTTTGAGATAAATTCTAATTTTATTTATTTATTTATTTTAAAATATATTTTTATTGATTTTTACAGAGAGGAAGGGAGAGGGATAAAGAGAAACATCAATGAGAGAGAAACATCTATCAGCTGCCTCTTGCAGGGACCCTACTAGGGATTGAGCCCACAACCAAGGTTCATACCCTTGACCAGAATTGAACCTGGGACCCTTTAGTCTGTGGGCCAACACTCTATCCATTGAGCCAAACCAGCTAGGGCTAAATTCTAATTTTAGATAGCATTAAATATGTGTCTTTAACTTTTACTTATGATAATCTGGGTCAACTTTTAAAGAAATAAATTAGATGCTATGTCTCTTAGTATAGCAAATAAATAGGTATCCATCATTCTCTGTGCTGATGACATGGTCCCACACTGAATGGTTGGTTTCTATCAGGAGTAAAAGCTCAATATTAAATATGTTTTGTTTTTTTAAAATATATATATATATATATATATATATATATATATATATATATATTAATATATATATATTTATTTATTTAGAATTTGTTCTTGTGAGGTAGAACTACATAGCTCTATTGAGCGGACAAGAGTAGTTATGATGCAGGGGTGGTAGGGTAGTGGTGTGCATTATATTGGCACTTACACTGCCCATTGGAGCTATGGAGATTCAATTCTGCTCCAAATTAATGTCTCCACAAAAAGTTCATAAGTGGCAGTACAAATAGTTGCCAGTTTCTCCTCTAAAAATCTTTTTGGCCAAGGATTTCTCTTAAGAGCTATAGATACAGAAATTTAGGGCTTTGCTGTACTCCTTAGTGCTTTGGATACAGGTACAAAGCTAATGTTTGAGAAAAGTCTGATTTACCTACAGGTGTTCTTAGCCCACTTATACTATTGGGAAAGAGCATGCACCAGGCCTTCTAGTCTCCTCACTGTTTATAGCTCTAGAGCAAGCATGTCAAATTCAAAATTTAACACGTGCCAAATAAATAAGGTTTAAGTTTATGTGGGCCACAAAAAACCAAAAGCTTCAATTTTTATAGAAACACTAGAGGCCTGGTGCATGGAATTCATGCACAGGGCCGGGGTGTGTGTGTGTCCCTCAGTCCAGCCTGCACCCTCTCCAATCTGGGACCCCAAGAGGGATGTCCTATGGCCCGTTTAGGC